AGTTGAATTTTGAATGAGACTCCAACCAGGGGGGAAAGGTAGAGAGCCAGGAGGGAAAGCCAGAGAGCCATCATCACTGGGAGCCTCCAGCTGCTCCTGGAGCCTTTTATACAGTTTTGACTGGGTTGTCAATTTGTGCTAGTGGGCTGCTTCCTCTAGCCTGCATCACAGTTTTCTTGGAGCATACATCTTTCCTAGCTTCTTTTTCTCACTTCACTTTCCCTCCTTTTCCATTTCAGCTTCTCTTCTTGGGAAACCTCCCATGTTCAGCCCTCCACCAACCTCAGTGCCAGCACACTGGCTGCTGTCTCCCACTGAGAGCTCCACGTCTCCCTTCTGCTGTGTGTGGCCAAGCCAACACCACAGCTCAGGCTGCTGTGCAGAGAGCAGGACCTGGCTGCTGGCTTGGCTGTGCAGCACCTGGGGCAGTAGAGACTGTTCTTGGCCGCTTGTAAGGCATGACTGCAGCAAACAGGATGTCGCAAGAGAGACATATGCAGAAACCTACGCAGTCTTCCACTTGAATATATGATTGTGCCAGGCCTCAGAGTCCCAAGTGGATGCCTAGAGAGTCTGGGGAAGGAGACGTGAGCACTGAACCCTTTCAACTTCACTTTGTGTGTGTTTGCTTTATGAAAGCCACACACACACACACCCCAATCAATTGTTTTTTTCATGAGACTCAGATAAACAGGAGGTGATGCTGCTTTAAGTCAGCAAGAGTGAATAAGAGAGATAACAAAGGCAACAGGATAAGGAAGCCCACATCAATAAGATGAGAGCATAATTTTTCTGTCTTCTGGAGCTTTCTCACTTTAAATGTCTTGCTTTCATTTTTTCTTGTGTGTTAATAATCATAAACCAAGAAACTAACACACCCATTCTCTGTGCCAAGTTATCTCCTTAGGTGTGCAATGTAAAAAACAAAACATTGAAGTTATTATACTAATACAGATAGGGAGAGACAGTAGTCTGATCTGCATTTGTGGGATCAAGCAAGATCAGCATAAATTCCTAATAATAGCACAATTGCATTGTACTAGAGTTTGTATACTGCTTTCAATATACTAGTTTCAAGCCTATATTTAAAGCAGTGCAAACACTGCATGTAGGCTAACCCTTTGGGAGTATGTTTTTTTCTCTTCAAACAATTGTAATCAAAGGAGCAGTACTGACCCCACTGCAGTCAGTGGGAGTTTCACTAGACATTGTTTTCAGAAGTTCTTTCAGCTCCTGGAAAAATTTCTGTTAAGTCAGAAGGCTTTCATAGTGCAAACAGCTTTTCGAGGTTAAGGAAAAAAAAAAAAAAAAAAAAAAAAAAAAAAAAGGAAGAAAAAAAGGGAAATAACACCGACTGATCAAAGGCAAATCTATGTCTTCGACGCCTACACACACATTAACACCTCATTAACACTACTTGTACCTACAGAAGAAGTCAAGGATGGGAATGGCTCTGGCACAAAGTAAACAAGTCCTAGGCAGAAATACTTCTTTTTTCTTCTGATAGTACCAGAAATAGTTGGTCCTTGACTGCCGTAGCTTTATTCTTACCATTTATGAGAACACAAATGAAAGAGTCCAACATTCAGTGATAAAGAGTTTCTATATAAGAACTCATAACAATCATGACAAAAACAACAGCAGCAAATTGAAGAGAATGAGATGGGGCCGGGGGGGGGTGTGTTTAAGCATAGTATCCATTTACAGCATGGTAAAAATAACAGAATAGTCATTTGGAGAAATAAGCTTCAAAAGTGTCATAAAACTTTGCAAATGCTTCATAGCCCTGAAGGCAAGACATCATTAGAAACTGTGATAGCTCAAATTCTCTATTGATAATTCTCAGTTCTCCTGGGATTTCCATTCTCACAATATAGTGCCACACTTCTGCCAAGAAGCAGAACTGCTGCTTCCTCTTCCTACCTCCACCTGCTCCCAGCCACTTTCCTTACCATACCTCCAGCTCAGCCATCTTTGCAAACCTTTTCAAAACACTAAACTGGCTGAAAACAAGTGTGTTAAAAGTACACAGTGGAAGACCAAGATGGTTTGCTGCCTCAGTGACCTGGAGAGCTGCAGCCTGGGCAGGCAGAGTTAGCAAGTTCTCAACTTGTGTGTCACTTGGTGCTCCCAAAGCTCCTCCACTGAGCAGTGCAGTCAGGACAAGGATGTGCTTGTGCATACGTGTGCAAGCTGCTGACAAGAGAGTCCTTCATTAAGGCAACCATCATTATCTGCCTTTCTGTATGTTTTATTTTGCCAGGGCTTAAGATGGGGGTAGGATCTGCTAAAGCTGTGCAGGATCTGGGGTTTTACTGGGATATCTTGTACCTGATCATTAGCAGGCAGAAAGAGAAAGCAAGCCTTCTTTGGGCTCATGCTGAATCTGCACCCATTTCACTTCTCTAAAACCAATTTTGTTAAACCAGATCAGATGTTCTTATACTGACTTAGCTAAAATCAATTCCTAATTGATTAAAGCTAACTTGAAATAAAATTGCCTAGGCTATAATAAAGGGTGACCGTAGCAATTTAACTGACTGGATTTAAAATAACCCCATCAATTAAGCAGCTACAACTGTCGAGCTTTTCATGGCAGAATTTGCTTCCTCCTCTGTGCTCAGGAAGCATTAAGTGCAATGGGGACCTAATCCCAATTAGTGCAGCAGAGCACTGCTGTGGGAAAGCAGTAACCAATCCAGAGAGAAGCTCATCATGCAAGGCACTGGGCTGGAGAACTGGGTTCTGCTTTCAGCTTTCCAGTTAGCCGCTTGCAATGCCTCAGGCAGGATATTCTCCCTCCTTGCAGGTTATGAGCAGAGAAGGCAAATTCCTGGAGACAGGAGCTGTCTTATACCTTGGATTTGCAGGGCACTTTGCACCAAAGGGCTAAGTCTTGTCCAGGTCCTTGGAATGCTGGCATTAACTAAATATTTGTCTTTGCAAACTGAGGAACACCAGCCTTGCACTTTCTCAACAGCTCAGTAAATTTTTTTTTAAACTTATATGTGTTCATAGGTGAGACAAATTTAAGCCAAAGTTTGATTTTCTCCCTTTTAATGTCTTGCGTCCTGCTATGAAGTCACATCCATATGGAAAAAATTACACACATAAGAAACTGTCCCAGCTACAAACCTGCTGATGAAATTTGGCTCCTGTGATTTGGTTTGTTAACAACACATTTGGATCCTCTCATAGGAAGAGTCTGCAGTACAGCTGAGGTTTAGCACCAGCTCATAAACAAGGGTTTGGGGAGGGGTATAACACTTGACTGCTTTCTCTGTTTTTCCTGTGTCCATTGGAGCTATTCCTGCCAAGCTGGAGCCAGCACCAGGTTCAAAACGCCCCAAATTTTTAGCAGACAGCTCTATTATGCTCCTAAATTATATGAAGCTCTGTAAACAGGTGTTTGAAGCACTGAGCACCGAACATCTTCTGTCTGTGAGAACAGCACCTTCTACCTGGTACACCAGTCAGTACTGGGAATGAGGGTGGCTGAATGCTGCTGCCTTCAGGGAGGTGCATCCATGCAGGCCAGCAAAAGTTACACAAATCATCTCCTTCAGTCCGCTCTGCTGCATTTCTTTTCTCTGCCAGCCCACAGGGAACTGAAAAATACCCAAACTACTTAACTGCTTATTCAGAACAGACATGAGCCAAAGCTGGAATGGGTTATGCAAACTGTCCTGAAGACCGGATTTGCTGGTAAAAAAGGATTCAAATCCAGGCCACCCTGTCTTTGTTTCTGCAGAACCAGGAGTCAGACAGTGATTTTCTCAAAAACAACCACAATGGTCTACTTCATTTCCACATTTTGATTCCATGGTTTGCCATCCATCCCACACAACATCCTTTCCCTCTGCCTGCCAATCACTACTTCACACTTCCAAAATGTATTTACCTTGTATTAGCCGTATAAAGACGGCTTTCTTCTTTTCATGGTCCTGCTCAAACTGAAATCTATACTGACCTCCATATAGAACAATGATGTTTATTAGTTTGCATGTTCACATTTATGCCTAAAATCTAGTTCATGGCCAGTGAGAGAAAATTTCCAAAAACCTGAAATTGATTCCTTTGTTTTGTTTTGGTTTGTGGGGGGTTTTTTTTGTGGGTTTTTTTTCCCATCAGTAATTAGTTACCTACTCAAGAAATTATCTAAAAACTTTTAAATTTTGAATTCTCTTTAAGGAAGTAGAGTAAACAATGGTGGAATTCTGGTGAAAGATATATAAGTGACTTATTATTTCCAAGTATGAGACTAAAACAAGACATGTACCTTTGTGTGGTTATGTATCAACATACTTACATTGTGCCTCTGTGTGTACACACACACATGTACATATGGATTTACACTCTTTGCACACAGAATTATTTAGGTACTTGAAATAGATTTAAGTTGCACAATTCAGCCTAAATCAAGTTTGAATCTTCTCAAGTTTCTGAGGTATTTGAATCTAAGCCTGGTTTTCAACACATAAAAAAACAAGTCCTATTCAAATTTAAGAATCCATTTAAGGCTCAAACATTTCTCACCAGTAACCTTTCCCAGAGTGGCAATGAAATTTGAGCTTTGCAGATGAGACAAGGTCACGTGAAAAAATACAGGAACATTATATCTCTACAAGGTTGACATAGGAAGATGGCATTCGAATAAACAATTAGGACTTCTGCTAGTGTAAATCAGCATATCTGCATGGAAATCAACATACTACACAAAGAAACACAGCAATTTCAAACTAACATTTTTATCCTTTGTTATGAAAGGGAACAATACTAAGTCAATAAAGTAAAATGACAACTCTTTTAAATTGATTTCTTTAAGCATTGACAGGAATGTCACTTTTTCCTCTGTGTAATCAATGAACTGCCTTTGTGTAGGTTTTCCACTCAGTAACAAAGGACTGTGTACATGGATGTGAATAAATTATGAGAAATTGTATGAAAAATCAGGAATAAGAAGGAAGCCTAGAAACAAGTGCTGCTTTAGAGACATCTTTTATTTTTGCAATTGATCACATTCCAAGTTGAAGTTGTCCCTTTCTTATCAGCCTTAATATAGATTTCTCCTAGCTGCAGTTCCAACACTTAAACACAATAAACCATTATGCTCACATGTTAAAACATAGTTGTATTAAATGTCCTGCTGAAGACAATTAAATCCTTTTGAAGGCATACTGTTTTTTTCCGGCTCTAGCCAAGGCCTGGGCAGCCCTGAGCACCAAGGAGGCTGAATTGTCCTCACACCTCCTCACTTAGGGGCAGCAGCAGCCACAGCATCAGCACTCGTCTCTATGGCACTTGGTGTGACAGCCAGCCCTCTGCCTCTATCAGTTTGATTTGCAGTTTACCACAAGGAACTGCAACAGTTTGCACTTGAATAATAAATACATAAATAAACTGGCATGAATAACACTCCTGGGAAATCAGCAATGAATTTCCAGGTCTATTTCTTACTAGGAGAGAAAAAAAAAGGGAGAGAGAGAAAGGGAGAAGATAGATTACTGGGAGAGAATTATGCTCCAAACCTTTCCTGGTCATGGAGTATTGACAGAAAAAGAAGTGCTGAACTGTGGGCTATTTGGAGATGCATTTGTCAGTCGGTGCACAGCTTCCCCAAAATCTGTACTTTGTATTTGCTTAATGCTATTAGATATGAGAAAGTCTTTTAGAAAACAGAGATGAAAATTATATCTGAAATTAGTATTTCTGTCTGTTTTTCCTTCCTCCAGGCTATTTCTACAAATCAGATATTGTGAATTCTTATCTTGCTCCCAAACCAAATAACTCCAGTGAGTGGCAAAGGCAGGGTTTGAAAGAGGGATCTCCAATGGTCTGTGCCTCAGAGCTGCAGTTTATTCTCTTCCTCCTCAACTTTGAGGCTGCTTCATTAACTTGGACTTATATTCCAGCCTCAGCTCCTGTTGTAGAGAGAAGAAAAAAAAAAAAAACTATAAAAGAAAACTTCATCATGATCCAGCCAGACCTTGAAAAATTAGACCCACGGAAGAAAAGAATACAATCGGAACTCGCAAAGACATTTTTTTATTGGCCTTGTAATTTCCTCACTAAACACGCTTTTAGCAGCCTACCCTTCTCAGAATCTTAATTATCTGTCGGCCCCTCATAATGGCCCCATTCATGTTCTTCAGAGCAAAAGCACTGTGGTATCACAAACACAGGAACTCAGAAGATACAGCATGTTCCTGAGGAAGGGCTGCACACCCACAGATAGCTGGCAGAGGGAATTTGCTACTTGGAGAACATAACACAAATATGTAGATTTTTTTTTCCCCTCTTTCATTTTTTTCCTTTTTTTTCCCCTGAAGCAAGAAAGAAGAGATGCTGTGCCTGAGCTGTGTATAAGGCAACAAAAACAAAAACAAAAACAAAAAAAAAACAAAAAAAACAAACAAACAAACAAAAACAAAAAGCCCTCTGATATACAGTTCTGAAAGAAAGTAAATATTATAGGTTCTCCATCTCTCTCCTGCACAATTTCTGACTGTTCATTGACTACCATAAATTAGTATGACTTGATATATTGTAAAGGCTGGAGACATTTTATGAGCTTCTGAAATCTTTTCCAACAGGAAATGTGAAGCATCACTTACGGTTCAAGATTAAGATTTTTTTTTTGTTTGATTTGTTTGGAAATGAACCTCATGCTGAAAATATTTCATTTAAATCAAAACTAAGAACACCAAGTTGGTCAGCATCCTTGGGAACTGGACATTTTTAGTGATTCAGGTACATACTTATACAGACCCTTTCTATGATAAAAGAAAGAAGAAAAACACTATCACTAGCTCTGAGTCTGCTACTTCCCACTGATAAATGTTCTCCAGGTACTTTTTGTAATCAGTTTTGCTTCTTAAATTTGCAGTCTTACAGAAAGAAAAAAAAAATAAAATTAAAAAAAAATTTCACACCAAACAACAACCCAAACAAAACAAAACAAAACAAAAAAAAAAAACCTGAAACCACATGTGATGCAAAATACACTCCAGAAAATTATATTATAATCTCATTAAATAAAAATTTTGCCAAAAAGCTGTATCTTCTGTAATAAGTAATGTAAGAATTTTACCAAAGTATTCACTGTTCAGGGGAAATACCGACTTTGTATGTCCACACTTGTCTTGGGATGACAGTTTAATTTGACATTCCAATAGAAATGGTCCCTTTTATTTCAGGATCTGCTGTCTCAGGTCTACTCATTAAAGATTGACCAAGGTCCTAGGGATAACTTTAGGAATACCTGCCAATTTTTATTTCAGCAAATGTGCTCCCTCCAGAACTGGTGGGCTAGCCAAACACCATGACCCATATTCCTAGCTGGAATAGCAAAATAAAAGTGATCCCAGAACAATGATAAGAATGATGGGTGGCAGAAAAAAAGAGGGGAATATGTTCATGCAGAAGTCTTGCAAAGTAAATTTTAATTTGGATCCAGTTCATCACACCTAAAATTTGTGTTTTGATATTAAACCTGTTATATCTAGTAAGTACAGATGTGATCCAGGTCTATTTGCATATCAGAAATATCCAAATTTAAAACAAAGCAAACAAAAATAAAAAGCCCACCCACAAACAAGGATACCTAGAGGTATTTGGACCTCGGAGGGTGAGTATGTATAGACAACACCACCCTGAAGACCTTCAAGCAGTAAGAAAAGGAAAATCATTACCAAAATTGGGTTTTGGGGCAGGACTCCTTCCCAGAGTCCTGTTTTTAACCTCCAGGGAGGCCACCTCAGAGAGAACTGAAAGCCAGGGGCTCCTCACAGGCATCCAGCTGCCTGTGCATGAGCTGCTTTAGGGCCCAGTTTCAGGCTGTTCGTGCTCCAGGAGCCTCACGACATGAATGTGCCCCAACCCACCACCACCACACCAGCACCCTGCAAGCAAGACAAAGGAACATAAGAGAAAGAAACAGATGTTTTCAGTCATCAGGAAAATGTGTCCTCCAGAAGAGGGTGAAGAGCAGAGTGTGTGTGTGTGTCTGCCAGGCTACCCAACTGCACCTGCTCTAGACTGGTACAGTAGCATGTCTCCACATGAATAATAAATTCCTGTGTTAAAGGGGGGATCACTAGAGAGAATAGATTGAAGGAAAGCTCAAGTTAAACAGTGAGAAATTCACCTAATACTTGCATTTACCAACTGAAGCCCAGAGTTTTGCATCTCTAGGCAGAAAGAAATTGACCTCTTCACAGAAGTGGTGCACTGAAGATGTTTAATAAATTGCTTCAGAAGCAGAATCAGTTCTGAACTTAACACAGGTGTCTCAGGGAGGAAAAACGCACATAAAAGCACTGTGCAAACTGCTGACAGCACTAGCTATGTGAGAGACAATCAAGGTACTTAACGTTTTAAAACACATGCCCTGCATAATAACCAATACTTCCAGAAGCCTCTGTCACTCTTCCAAGCACTGAATTAAGAGAAGTGTCGCTGTACCAGGATCATAAAACATATCCTTTAATCCTCTTGCATAAATGCATGTGTTCTGAGATGAAGAAATGTGAACTCATATTCTTCATGTATCCAGGGGCTATTTTCCCCCTGAGAAGTTGAGGGGAAAGGGAGAGCAGGGCCACCACACAATTGATTTTCTACAAACACATTTAACCTTTAGCAGCTGTGAACAAAGTAGCTGGAGAAGTGCAGAGTGCTTGCTTCAGAGGTGAGGCTTAGGAAATCAGAAATTCTTCTCTCAGCCCAGGATGAATTGCTTTAATGGCCATACTGGAGAGGGTATGAATACAAGAGAGAATGGGGGACGAGAGATGGGGAGGTGTCTCCACAATATTTTCTGCAGAAGCACCTCCTCAATAGTTTCCCTGAGCCGTTGCATCTGAGTCTACTAATAATACTCACAGCTAAAATGTGCATGAATCTTCTCATGAACGTTTCCCTCAATGAGTGCTGTGCAGCATCAAAGAAACAGTGCTTAGGCCACAGGTGATGGAGGCTCCCACTGCCCAGCTTCCCGCCCAAGCAAAGGCTGATGGAAGCAGGGTGACAGGAGCTCTGCAAGAGGCAGTAGTTGAAAAGGCTGGTAATAGTTTCTCTAGCCCTTCATTTCTAGGTCACTGGGTTGAATGCAGAAGCACACATCAGTCAGCTTCATCTCCCTCGCAGTCACAAGGAGCCTACATGAAGGGAGGCAGTGCTTTCAGCCTAGCTTCTCCCAAGCCTCTCCTTCCTCCCCGTTGTGAGCCCAGGCTGACTCCCTCTGGGACAGTCTCCCAAGGAACACATAACAGCAAATCAGCAAATCAGCATAAGGTGCTGCTTCCTGACACCTAAAATCCTCATTTATGTTAGGCAGGTGGTGTGTCCTCATCACAGTAAATTACAACTGTCTTTAATTCCTGACCAGCTTGCCCGCACTCAGGCCGTTAATGTACCTGCACCGGGCGCACCTCGCACACCCCGCTGCCGCAGCTGCTCTCTGCGAAAGCAAACCAAGGCAGCAGCAGCACGATTTCTCCCCATGTCCCCCACAAACGCACACTCCTTGGCAAAGCAGATCCATGTTCTGTCCTGAAGCAAAGGCAGCATCCCCCTGTCACAGCCCAGAGATGGGCAGGGGCTGAGCCCCTCAGCAGAGCACCCATGCACAGCACTTGCTCCCCTCTCACTTGGCGGCGGGGGCTGAGCCCTGGTATCGTAGAGTTACGACTGGGTTTTCTAAAATGTACTGGTTGCTATTTTTTTGTTGCTATTACCTCCTCCAACACAGTTTGGGCTTGCAGTATTAAGACAGCTTGGGTTTACATACAGAGGGACTACAAATAGCTTTCCTGCTAAATAAGTGGTGCAAACACATCACTCGACGGTGCTGCGTGGCTCACAGGATTTATGGTCCCGCGTTTGGGATGAACAGCGCAGCTCTCTTGCTGTTTCCATTATGAATAACGCGGCCACGCTAAACTCACACTAATAAAACCTGAATGTATCACTGCATTGTTTGGCATTCTGTATAGGAGAAACCCATCCATTACTGAGGCGGGCACTGAAAACTCTTTGTGACAGGAGCAGCACAGGGACAGCTTCACAGCAGCTATTCAGAGCCGTTTTACAGCTTCCTGAGCAGAGCCCAGACTGGGCTGCATGCCAGCAGTGTGGAAAATGGCTGGCAGGGGCTCTGGCCACTGATTTGTAAGTCGCGTGAACCCCCAGGGGAAGAGGGAGCAGGTACTGAGAGCACCTGTTAGAGGGTGCTTGCTGCATGTCACTGCCCATCTCTAACATCTGCTGCAGCCCACTTGTTGAATGATTCCTCTGACAAAGCAAAATGACTAAGACTCTGCAAATTGGACAATAACCACGCTGCTTCAGCTGCTACACAACTATTGGGATGACAGTTTAATTTGACATTCCAATAGAAATGGTCCCTTTTACTTCAGGATCTGCTCTCTCAAGTATACTCATTAAAGACTATGACAACTATTGGGGACCACCAGAGTCTGCATGGGCATCAGAAATGTTCCAAAGAAAGTAAAGCAGGCAGCCACACTGGTGGGAGGGACAGTGCAGGCTGCTGAGGCAGTGTGCCCAAAGGCGTGTTCCCCGCTCTCAGGGAAGGAGTGAAGGCACCACAGACCTTCTGCTGTCTCCAACCCAGCTGAGGGGCAGAGCCAATGGCCACAGAAGGTATGACTGCATAGCCAGGTTGAAACCAAAACATAAGAGCACATACTAGCAACAGTGTCTGCTTCACAGCCAACACCCTCCAGCCTTCCTTGGTAATGGCTGACATAGGCTGCTTCCTGCATGTCCCATCACTAATCTGGCCAGCCTCCTATGTCCTGCTCCAAACCACTTTCATTTTATGAATCCTTTAACCCTGGGGAGTTACCCAAAAATGTACTAACACCATCCCTTACATTTCTTCTTTATGAAGCTCCTA